TTGAAAAATCCACAGTTTGTTCTAGGTTCAGAGGTTTCAGTAATAGAAAGAAACAATGGAAACAACACCAACTGAATCCACGTCCTTTCTCAGAGCTTTTCCCCAACACTCAAGACAAAACTTCATGCTATTTGATAGAGAGGCAGGTGCAAAAGGCTTCAGATAAGCTTAATGCTTACAACAATTGAGTAAAGTTTAGAGATATGGACCCTTAGCATTAAACCACTCAGCATCTCAATACTCCATAGGCCTTCTACCCGTTCCCTTCCTCTGAGCATGGACAGAGAGAAGAAAGATGACGATGTAGGGACCTGACAGAATGCAGAAAGTTACACATATCCAGTGTTCAGATGCCCAAGCCACTATGTCTGCTGTTGTCTACCTCAGCTCCAGGCTTGTTTCTTAATTGACCCCAAATACTGGTTAGAAGGAGGAAAGACCTCAAAATCATTAGTTATGCCAACTATATGCTTCCCACCCCTAAGTGCAGTTACCCTTGAACTATGGAAGAATTTAATACCTTGTCATTTATGTAAGTATCTTTTTGTAGAGTCCAGAATCATGTAAAATGTTTATATATTTAAGTATTGTTATGTTATGTGCCGTTAAGTCAGTTCCAACCCATAGCAACCCTGTATGGGGTTTTCCGAGGAGCAGCTGGTGAGCTTGAACTGCCAATCTTGCAGTTCAAACAGCTTTGCAGTCTGGTGCATTACCCCACAGCACCACACTTCTGGGTTACTGGGGTTGTTCTGGCATATTTAAGAAAACACAATTACTTAACAAATGCTTCATGTTAAGTAAGCTTTGTGCTATAAAAACTAGCATAAAACAACAATATAGACAAATTAGTTATCATTATCAATAACCCTATACAGGGTCGCTAGGGGTTGGAACTGACTTGATGGCAATAACAACAACAACAACAATGCTAAATATGAGAAAGACTCATTCCTTACCATTTCCACAGCAGAGCTTGAGTTCCTGCCTTTCCAAACAGGTGTTTTCTGTAAAGAACTATACTTCTCATTCCATGTGTTAGATAAGCTTCCCTCTGTAATGAATTACAGATAAGCTTATTAATAAGATTCACATTTAGTTCAATGGATCTAATATTATGAACACTACCTCATGAATAACAATAATATAGTTGAAATATTTACCAATATGAAAAAAATACATTGACTATAATAATTCTCATTTATTACAAATGAAACATCTCTTCTGTATTTTTTTTTCCAAACTATCTAACCTGATAAGGAATACATTGTGAAAGTACTAAATTTTCAGACTAATATACATGTGGCTTTTCTTTCTTTCTGGTTTTTAGTAGTTCTTCCATATTAATGTGTCAACAACTACCTTAATACAATTCTGACTAAGTGTTGTTGTGGTTAAGTGCTGTCGAGTCGATTCCAACCCATAACGACCCTGTATAGGGTTTCCAAGGAGCAGCTGGTGAGCTTGAACCGCCGACCTTGCAATTCAAACAGCTTTGCAGTCTGGCGCACTAACCCACAGCGCCACACCAGGACTAGTGTGTGGTGGTGGTGGTTAGGTACCGTGGAGTCAGAACCGACTCACAGCAAGTATGCAGGGCAATAGATAAATGGACACACCCCTTCTAACCTTAAAGTTAAAGTTTGTATTCCTTCTCCAGGATAATATTCTGGACCACAGGTCAGTTTGAGCTGCAAGGTCAGCGGCTGCTCCTC